CTCTTACGACAGTACTTCCTGAGGCTCCGCTACGTGGCAGACACTATTCCAGGCGGCAGAGACACATCAGGGGAGCAGTGAACAAAACACATTAGGTCTCCTTTCTCATGAAGCTTGCATTCCAGAGCGAGGGAGCAAAAGGGAGGAAGAAAGTCGTGATAGACAGAAAGATTAGGAGACAGTCAGAAATAAGCGTTCCAGAAGGAAGGCACAGCTTGCATAGATCCTCAAGAGTGGAAAGAGTTTGGCATATCTGAAAAAGCCCCTGTCCCTGGAACACGCGACGGGAAAAGAAAGGTTGAAACGCACGAGAGGATATCAGAGGGGGCAGGGGAGATGTCAAGTTGCAGACTGCGGGGCTTGGGGATGGTGATTGGGTTTTGACTGTGATGGATTTTGACTTTCAGGAGATTGATGTGACCGGTTCACACTTGCCAAAGGCCGTTCTGACTGCTTCGTAGACAATGGATTTCATGGAGGAAAGAGGGCAACACTCAGGCGGCCATTGCATTAGTGGAGGAGAGGCAGAATTGCAGTTCCAACTGCATTACTAGCAGCGATGGTGGGAAAGTGGATGGATTCAGGCTATGCTGCAGACAGAGAGTCAGCAGGACTGGCTAATGGATCAATGTGGGAGGAAGGGTAAAGGAAAGAATCAAATATAACGCCTCGCCTGTGGCTTGAGTAACGGGTGGTGGGTCGGCGGGGCCTTTTACTGACACGGGGAAGCCGGGATAAAAGCAGGCTTGGAGGTACAGGGAACTGACGGGGTCCATCACAGCCGTGTCAAGGTGGTGGTGCTAGTGAGACATGCATGCGAAGATGTCACACGGGCACCGGAGATGAACCTGGAATGTTAAAGAGAGATCTAAAATCGCAGAACGAAATGAGGTCACTCAAGGATAGTGTATAGACAAGAAACAGACTCCTAACTCTAGAGAACAAACTGACGGTTGCCTGAGGGGAGGGGTGGGCAATGGGTGGAAAAGGTGATGGGGATTAAGCAGTGCACCTGTTGTAACGAGCACCGGGTGACGAATGGAAGCGACGAATCACAATATTGTACACCTGAAACTAATATTACGCTGGATGTTAACTAACGGGAACTTCATGAGAAGCTTTAGAAAAAAGGATAATATACAGAAAAAATGTCCCAGGATGAAGTTCGAGGGCGCTGCCATATTTCAAGGTTGAGCAGAAGAGAAGGAGTTTACCGAGCAAGGCTAAGGAAGAGTAGGCCCGACCTCTTGCACGTTAAGGAACACTCTGAAAATTACCATGTTTTCTCCAGCCTAGTGGGCTAAGAGGCATACTGAGGGTCCTCTCCAAGGATGAGGAGATCAATATCCTGACTCAACTGAAACCCATTTACGGCGCACCATGGTGCCTCAGCACGGTGTGTTCTAGGATATGACCACAGGAATGAAAGGCAAAGAATAATCAAATTGACCAAGCATTTTTTTCATGCTAAATTAAGGGGGGGGGGGCTAGTATAAAGTTTATAATAATATATCCTCCAAAGAGGTCTAATTAGGATATTTTTAAAGACTCTTCCAAGTCTCAGCCATAAATATTTAGTCTCACGACATCTGGAAACGGTTTTCAAAATTCTTGATGGCAAGGTGAGCATAGAAGTTTTATGTTCCTTCAAGACGTAGAAGAACGCATAAATACATTCTAGAAATGTGTGTCAAGTTAATGGTTATTTTGAGCACCCCAAAATATAAAATAACATCTTAGCTGTGTATAGAGACAACCTTTTGGAAAGAGAACTATCCATGTTACGAAAATAAGGAATGCTAACATTATTTATAGACACGTCAAAAACCTCCCATTGGGTTTGGTGTCACTGCATGATCAGAAGACCATGAAATCGAACTTTGAGTTGAGTGAATGTAACAAAATTTGACTCGATTCCCTTCTGACGCCTACTAAAGACTGATATTCCACCACCCCTCCACCTGTGTACGTCCACGTCCACATGCACACGTTGGCCAAAGGTCTCCAGAGCCTTCTTTCCACAGCATGAAGCCACCTTCCAGGCGTAGGGACTCTGGACTCTCTCATGACACATTGCATTGCAGTCTTTGCACATAGAGGCACTTCCTCCTCTTACATCCCAGTGTCCAGGCAGCAAGGAAGTGATGTCCCTATTCTGCCAACTTCCTAAGGCCACTTCAAGGCCAACCTTATGGAAGACCTCCAATGAGAAGAAAAACCAAGGTCCTTTACCATACCTCTAATTCTTGATAGCTCTGCCAACTAAGACCAACATAACTCATAAAAGGGGTCTGCATCCCTTCTAATTCCCTGAATCTCCATAGCATCATTATTATCAACGTCAACAACAAAATCATACCTCTGTGCCAATGTATCAGAGTATCACAGTTTGATCTGATTTTACTATTTACAGAAAAGCAAGATGATGAGCAATTTGTGGACCAACTGCCTTTCGTTCCGGCTAAATAACACACATATTTTTTAAACAATAAACCAAGCTTCTTAGTTTGCAAGAAATTGAAACAAAATACTCTCTCGTGTTTGATCATTTGCACTGCTAAACAACTTCCCTCGTGGCTGGGATCCCAATTACCTTTATTTTCCTTCTGCTCTGTCACAGAGATAAATGATCATAGTTACTTGGTTTAGTTGGGGGCACGGTTTCCCACAGAGCATTTTTACAGATGTCCATTGTCAGAAAAATATTTAAAACAGGTTTACTGGGGCCATTAGTTGTGAAATATTTATAGGGGTCACAAAACTTGGACATTTTCCTCTCCACACTGTGGAAGAGACAGAGGAAGAGAAGGAAAGTGTCCTCAAAAGATTAGCTTCAGGGGCATCTGGGTGGATAACAAGTGGTAAGCATCTGACTCTTGATTTCGGCTCAGGTCATGATCTCATGGTTTGTGAGTTCAAGCCCCGCATCGGCCTCCACACTGTTAGTGCAGAGTCTGCGTGGGATTCTCTCTCTCTTTCAAAATAAATAAATAAACTTAAAAAATTAAAAAAAAAAAAA